GCCTGGGAGCTGGGTGGCATGTCCCCCCCTCCGACCTCCCATGGCTATCTGCAAGGTGATCAGGCCCCGCTCGAACCCACCTTGGCCTGGCACTGCCCACTCACCTGCTCCACCATCCCGCCGGGGGCTTGCTCTCATAGAGGCCCTTTGGTACCAGCAGCACCTCCATTGTTGCTGCCTGCTGCCAGCACTGCATCGCTGAAGCCTGCCATGTTCCGCGCCGCCCCCTGATGGTCAGAGGATGTCATAGCAAGCTGTTGGGACTTCTGATCAAACCACCACCCGAGGGGACAATTTACATATTAGGCTTTTATTATATAGGATTTGCTCAACCAGTTCACTTATTTGCTCAATGTAGCCAATTTCCCACCCACTCTTCTCCAACACCTCCCTTAGCTCCTCTGCACCCTCCTTCCACTGCTGTTTTCTCTGTCACCAAAGCCTTTATATATCCTTCCCACTTTCTCCCACATCCTCAGCCATCAGGGCATTCCACGATTGTCTCTGGTGTCCCTCTTCCTCTGCCATGGCCCTTCTGGAACCATGGGGCTTCCTGCTGCTGTATTCTGTGCAGCATGCTCCCTCACAGCCCCTCCTCCTTCAATGCCAGAATTTCTGTGCCAGGAGGGAAAGGAAAAAGAGGATAGGAAGGGGAAAAAGAAAACATTTTTAAGGTCTTTGTTATCTTTCCATCCACTTACTCTGTCTCTCTGGGGCTCATCATTCTTCCCAGCAGCCCTGGCCTTTCTTCTGGAATAATTTTCCATCAGCCTGAAGAACATCTTTCAGGATTTCTTGTGACACAGATCTGTTGAGACAAGCTTTTTCTATCTGAAATGTTTTGATTTCAGTCTTGAAAGATAGAATTCTAATTTGACTGTTCTTTAACTTGCAATAATTTAAAGGTGTTTTTCCATTGTCTTCTGGCCTTCACTGTTTTTCATGACACATGTGATGAGTCTCTGTTTTCTTCTGGCTGCTTTTAGAGATTTTTCTGCATCTTTGGTTTCAGCATTTTGACTATATTGTGCATAAGTTGGCTTTTCTTTGCACCTGTCCTGCAATCCAATTAACTTCTTGTCTGTGGGCTAGTAACGCTTTAGGTGTTCTGAGACCCAATTTCAATGTGTGTAGAAAGAGTTGCCCACATCAATAAGCAATTTTCAGATACCAGCAGAGTGCCCGAAAATTTAACCCAATTCTGAACTGTCTGCATAGAGATAGCATCAGATTCCATAGGTTCTGGGCTCAGACCTACAGGACTGCACAGCCACCCACCTCCTCTTCAGATGCCAGTCACAGGTTGTCACCTGTACATCTGACCGACTGGCTATAAATCAGAGGTTCCCACAAACCTCTCTCCTTGGGTTCTATTAACTTGCTAGAGTGAGTCACAGAAGGAAGAAAAACATTTTACTTATGAGATCACCAGTCTATTATAAAAAGATATCACTAAGGAACAGCCAGATGGAAGAGATGAACAAGGCAAGGTAGTGGGAAAGGGCATGGAGTTTCCACCTTTCTCCAGGTGCACCACTCTCTCCAAAACTCCAACCTGGAAGCTCCTCAAACCCATCTTCCTGGGCATTTATGGAGGCTTCATTATATAGGCAAGATTGATTAAATCACCGATTATTGGCAATTGATTCACCCTCCAGCTCCTCTCCCCTCCCCAGCAGTTGGGATGAAAGTAGGAACGAAAGTTCCAACCCTCTAATCACATGAGTGGCTCTCCTGGCAACCAGTCCCCATCCTTCTGTGCTTCCAAAAGTTAATTCATTCAGGCAACAAAAGACACCTTTATAATTCTCAACACTTAGGAAATTCCAAGGGCTTGGGGAATTGTGAGTCAGGAACTGTGGACTAAGACTACATATACCAGTATATGAGAAATATATTTTGGTTATCTGAATGGCCAAATATACATTTCTTATAAATCATGGCATTGCAATGTCATTCAATAATTTTTAAAAATTACCAGCCATTCTCTTATAATGATATCAAAATTTAGAAAAGCTTAGTAACTTGCCCCAAATCACTAACTATTCAATGATAAAACAGATTCAAACACAGAATTCTTGATGCCCAATTTCACAGAATTAACCATTATGCTATGCCTTTTTTTATTGAAACAAATGTATAATAGGTTTATTTAAAAAAATATATATTTTATTGATTTTTTACAGAGAGGAAGGGAGAGGGATAGAGAGCTAGAAACATTGATCAGCTGCCTCCTGCACACCCCCTACAGGGGATGTGCCTGCAACCAAGGTACATGCCTTTGTCCGGAATGGAACCCGGGACCTTTCAGTCCACAGGCCGACGCTCTATCCACTGAGCCAAACTGGTTTTGGCAAAATGTAGGTTTATTAATACTAGAATAAAATATTCCCATTTAGAAATCTTCAAAGATATACAAAAGCAGACAGAACATTAACTAAACTGCAGACTTCACACAAATTTTCTCAGATCTCACCTAGTGTGCCTGTCCTGTTTCCAGATCCCACTGAGGATCCGCTTCACACTTAGTCATATCTCCTTAGTCTCTTCGGATCCTGTTTTTCAGTCTGGCCTTGTTTTTTTATGTCCTTTGTGGTTTTGAGGAGCACTGGCCAGGTATTTGGTAGAATTCCCTTAAATCTGTGTTGTTCACAGTAAGACTGGGGTGATTGTTTTTTTTAGGGAGAAAACCACAGAGGTGAAATACCCTTCTCATGGCATCATATTAGGGGTACATGTTCTTAGCATGACTTATTTCTGATGTTAATCCTGACACCTGGCTAAGATAGTCTTTTCCAGGTTTCTCCACTAAACAGTTACTTTCACCTGGTCTAAATCAACCTTTGGAAGTGAGTCACAGTACAGCACATACTCACCGTAGGGAACTAAGTGCCACCTGGACTGAACAGCATCCACATAAGAAATCTGGAGACTCCCGATGACTTTAGAGGTTGAGAGGCACTAATCTAAGTCAACTTTCATTTTATTCCTCTTGGTCTAGGAATAAAGTTGAAAGATTTTTCACCCCAATAAAAGGAGAGCTACAACAGGGGGAAATTTTCCCTTTTTTTTCTGCTGGCAAATGGAGCCTCCCTTCCCTTGTCTGGGCTGCTGGTGTGAATAAAATACCTTGCAGTGGCAGCCAATGACTTGTGATCACGAGGCAGTAAGCCAGGAACCAAAAAACCAATATGATTAGGATGGCAGAGCAGAAGCAGGGTGAACACCTGGAGCTGTCTCCAGACTTCATGTTACATTAGACAATTAAACCTCTTCATTGCTTAAATAACTCTTCACTGGTGTTCTTCAAGTTAAAAGCATTACTGATAAAGATTCAGATGTCTCACCCATCTTTTTTTTTTTTTTAAATATATTTTTTATTGATTTTTTTTTTTACAGAGAGGAAGGGAGAGGAATAGAGAGCTAGAAACATCGACCAGCTGCCTCCTGCACAACCCCTACCGGGGATGTGCCTGCAACCAATGTACATGCCCTTGACTGGAATTGAACCTGGGACCTTCCAGTCTGCAGGCTGACACTCTATCACTGAGCCAAACCGGTTTAGGCTCATCCATCTTTTTAAAACTGTATCATTTACAGGTAGGACATGGAGGTACTTAATTAGTTTTTGAGTAAGTGATGGACTGAAAGAACTGAATAACAGAATAATGTAACTAATGCCAGCATATTTGCAATTAGATTCTGTACTTCCATTTCTTTTCTCAAATACAATAAAGTTGTATACATCCTGCCACTAGAGAAAAATTAGTATGAACATTTGAATAATGATGAAATTTTCTGATGTATGCTTATCAAATTGAGGTTTAAAGGAATGTATAGTTGATTAAATTTTTAGGACTGATTTATTTGTTAACCAAAATATCTTGAATGTGGTTGAGGCAAACAATGGAATACCTACTATAAAGCTATGAGAATGAAAAAAACTACAGTTGGTCCTTGAATATAGGGAGTGAACAGAGGGGATAGGACACCGACCTCTGTGCAGTCAAAAATCCATGTATAACTTTTGACTCTTCCAAAACTTTATTAATAGCCTCCTTTGGGTGGAAGCCTTCCCAATAACATAAAGAGTTGATTAAAACATATTTTGCAAGTTATATGTATTATGTACTATCTTCTTACAATAAAGTAAGAAAAAAGAAAATCACATGGAGAATACATTTACATTATTTATTGAAAAAGATTCACGCATAAATGGACTTGCAGTTCAAACCCATTGTTCAAGGTCAACTGGATAACATCACTCGACAGTGCAGATTATTCACAGACACAAGGCTGAGTAATAGATGCCGGACAGGAATACATGCTGCATGATTCCATCGGTAAAAAGTTAACAAATAAGCAAAATTATGCTGTTCAAAGTCAGCACAGTGCTGGCCCTGGGGTGTTTCTATGAAAGGGCTCTTGGGGTGGTGGTAGTTGTCTCTTTCTTGATCTGGGTGTTGGTTATGTGTGTTCAGTTTGTGGAAATTCTGAGGTTTGTACAGTTATGACTTGTGCATTTTCTGTATGTATGTCATACTTTGATTAAAAATTTATCTGAAGTTTCTAGGTGAAACAAAACTAACCACACTGAAACTACAAAAACTTACAATTAGTAACAGGAACAAGAAAAATAAGCATCTAGGCTAGACTGATAATTGAAAGTCATGTTCCATTATATTCCTAATGTATAAAATTGTGATGAAAAAGGTAGGAAAACAATTTATGTTTTAATAAAAGATAATATAAAGTCAAATTATAGCCAACTGTTAAAGTCTTGTGTTTTTTTTTTAATTCTAGGGTACACATAGTAAAAAAAGGAAACCACGCACACAAAAGAACAGAACAAGAATATCAGCTCAGGGGCTTTTTTCTGAACAAATGACCCCTGAGTCTTTCCCACAGCATGCTTCTGAGCAAGGCTCTAAGTCTAGCCTGTCACACAAGATACTAAGTGAAGAGTCTCTTGCATCTGTTACTTTTAATATATAATATTTTCACTTCTGGGTAAGAGAAAAAGCATTTTGGTCCATTAGTTCACCTACTCGCTCCTGGAGGACACTGACAAACTCTGCTATGACGAAGACATGGGTGTCATCAATGTCTTGAATGATGAACTTCTTCCCTAGGGCATTTGACTCATCCAAGTACAGCAGGAACTGCTTCATGGCAGGGTCACTGTGGAGGGAAACTCATACTGGTGAGAAACCTTACTGTCAGTTTACACCAGAACCTGAGTGGTTAGAATTTTGAGCACGTAGAATTTTTAGGTTAAGTTAAAAATCCTAAACTCTCACTCCCATGCTGCCTTAAGTGGTAACGATTTATAGATGTAGCTTTATTTTAGAGCTTTTAGTATAAGTTTAAGATAAAGAGACCAATAATGTTTTGAAAAGAATTTGTCACTGACAAGTAATGTTCAAAGCTTTGTAGTTAATAGGGCCTAGAATCACAGCCTCCTTGACTGACTTTAAAAATGAATTTCCTTACTTGTCCACAATCATTACGGCCAATAGCCTTTCACTACCTTTCCAGCGACACATTAATTTACAAAGCCAGTTAAACCATCACTTTATAAAGCAGGGTGCACAGCTAGAGTCAGGTCTGGATTCAATTGTGTGACCTTAAAATGTACTGAATCTCCCAAAGTCTCAATGTAAACCTACATAACAGAATTGTTATGGAAATTATAGGAGAAAAAATGCCAAGGATAGTATTTGATCTGCAGTTGGTACTCAAGTATTTCCCCCTTCCTTAAAATACTGAAGCTTGTATGTCTGAAATATCATGTAAACAGTATTATTATCTATATTATGACTCATATTAGGGGCATAGAGATACAGCTAACAGTATTTCCAGACAATGGAAGTGTTCACAGAGCGAGATTTCCAGATGAGACAGAATTACTGGTGGGGCAAGCAAACAAGTGGAGACTGAGCAGTTCAGGTCTCCAGCTGCATGATAACTAAGCCCCCTGTTAGCTGGCTTTGCTAGGCATGACAGGTGCTAGGCGTGAGGGCCTCTGCCCATTTAGGTTTCTCCTTCCTCCTTTGAAGTATATGACTAGTTTAAGCAACCTTCAGCTGGCTCGCTTAGCTTTCCGCCCCGCATGTTTGGAAGACCATAGCTTGTGAGGTGAAGACTTTGCAGACCCTGAAATTCTGTGGCAGGCAGTTAGACAGACAGGAGCAGAGCAAGGATGGTCACTGGGCGGAAAGCCCAGGTGCCTAGCAACGGGCAAAACTGGAAAAGTCAGGACTCACTCCCAGGATAACCCTTCCTCCCCTAGCATATCGCCAGTCATTCAGCTTAGACTCCCTGGCCTTTCAGATTGCTGGCCATGCCGCTCTGGGACCCCTGGCCTGTTGGTCACGTGGTAGACCCACAAATATGCTGCCTCCCATCAAAACTGGGTGGAAATAATGCCAAATAGATCAGTTCAACAGAGACATGGAAATCTGGCACCAGGAAGAAACTTAGCAACAAAATCTGTTCCATTTGTTATCTAAATAAGAAAACTGAAGTCGAGCAAGGTGAAAAACTTGATCCATTCAGATCTTAAAACAAAAGAAAAAAGAAATTTAAAATGCTCATTAAGTATCAAAGCTACTAACCATTCTATAAGCACTCCTTTCAAGACGTTGACCATCTTTTCCTCAGTCAGAAGCAGCAGATGCCCTTAAAAATGCGAATAAAAGGAAGACGGTGACATACAATTCAAAAGCATCAACATTAATACACTTTGGAAATTTACCTCTGAAATGGGCAGAATATGAATAAACATTTAAGTCTGTGAAGACAGAGGGCTAACATTAAGAAAACATACAGATATTCTGACCTTTCAATAAAATTACAAGTCTACCGGAATATTAATGTATAAACCTTACTGGCAAACAAATTTTACCAGTCAATCCTAATGAAAGCAAGCAGCTTACCTACACCAGTGGGTCCAAACCCATTTTAAAAACATTAGTTGAGCCCTAGTTGGTTTGATTCAGTGCATAGAGTGCGGGTTTGCGGACTGAAAGGTCCTGGGTTTGACAAGGGTCCCGGCTCCAACGCCAGTAGGGGGCGTGCAGGAGGCAGCCAATCAATAATTCTCTCATCACTGATGTTTGTCTCTCTCTCCCTCTCCCTTCCTCTCTGAAATCAATAAAAAATTCATTTTTTATTAAGTAATAAAACATTAGTTGAAAGATTTCTCTTCCCACCAGTAGTATGGTTTAAAAAATAAAAAAAAGAAACCACAGGATGGTAGCTCCGAAAGAGGCCTTAAAAATTATATGTTGAGTCCAATCATCTCGTTTTACAGCTGAGACAGAGCCCTTGAGGAGAGTAAGCAGTAGCTCCCCGTCCTCTCTCCAAGGGGTACAAGGTCTTCAGACTTGTGTTCATTTACAAAATAAATGGCATTCCTAAGGACCTAAACTAAAGGAGGAAAACGCAGCCGTGCACGCGGTCCTAACCCTTCAACTCCGGCCCTGGTCCCCGGCCATGCCCCCCGCCCCCCGCCATGCCTCCCAGGGGAAAGCCACGGTTCAGCCCCTGCGAGCCAGCCGCGCGGCCCGTTAGACGGGGCCCGAGGGGGTGCGGGACGCCGCCCTGCACCCCGCAGCTGGAGGACAGGCTTCGGGTGCCGTCCCCCGCGTCTCTCTCTCCCCGGGAGCCGACGCCACGCACCTCCGCCCACAGAACCAGCAGCTCTCCGGCGTCGCCTACAGAGCACGCAACGCGTTGCGTCACTGCGTCGGCGACGCCCCGGAGGCGGGAGGCGGGGCGTGGGCGGGGCGTGGGGCGGGGCGAGGAGAGCGGGGGCGCGGTCACGTGCCGCCCGCCTCCAGGTGGAGGCGCGGGCTGGCTGCCGGAGGAAGGTGGCTGCCGGCTGAGCCGGCCTCGGAGAGCTGCTGCGGGCAGGCCCAGCCGGGCCGGCAGGTGGGACGGGGAGCCGGGCTTGCGGGGGGCGAGGGCGTCCGTGCAGCGGGCAGAGCGGAGAGCGGGGCCGGGGGCGGCGGGCCGGCGGTGGGGCGGCGGGGCGCCCCCGCGTGGCCTGGCGGGCCTCGCCTGACCCGCTGACCCTCCGCCGGGCGTAAGGGCCGCTCCTGAGGCCCTAAACCCACTCGTTCCCGGCCGGCGCCGTTCTCTGGTCCCCCCGAGACCCAGAGAGGACGTGGGCGTCGGGGGGCAGTGACGGGATGCTGGTCAGGAGGACAGATGGGGCCTTCCAGACCCGGACTCCAGCGCTGACCCCGAGGGCCAATGGGTTGAAGGCTGATAGGTCTCTGAACCCAGTAACGGTCCTGTTAACCCGAGAGACCCCGGAAGGCTCCAAATCACCCCTTCCCCGAATTCTGGGCTTCTGTCTGTGCTTTTACCGCGGAGGTTCAGGGTCACGCTTTCTGTCCCTGAGGTTGCATTGTACCTAATGAGCTCACGCTGCTTCCTCACTTGGTGTGTTTCTGTGATTTACACACCCAGCCCCCACTTATTTCCCTTTTCCTATTCCTCAAATCTGTTCCTTCCCGTGGGCTTCCATTCCTGTTGTGGGCAGCTGCGCCCTCTTTAGTCTGCCTCTAAATAGAGTTCTTCCCAAGTTTCCCCCCTTTTTTTTTTCTTTTTCTTTTTTCTTTTTTGGTCCTTGCATGCGTTCTTCTCTTTTGCCATCTCAGCAGTCCATCACGTTGACCCTCCCTCCACCCTGTGCTCCAGGTGCCATCCTGATGCACATTAACGACCTGTGAGTTCTTACGTGTCTCCCTCAAGCCGCACTGTTGTAGGTGGTGGAACAGCGCTGGGTGACAGAATTAGGACAGAGGGTCCTCGTGGAAGGAAAAAGTGTTAGTCCTTAGAAATCCCAAGTCAAAGGATGGGCGAAAAATGAAACATTAGCTTGGAGGGTGGTAGCCAAATATTTAAGAAAAATAAATTCAGGATCCAGTTCAATTTATAGGTGAAAAATAAAACTTTGAAGACAGCTAATTAAATTAAGAGTCTAATATTCACAACTGTGTATTATAGTCTATTGAAACGCAATTCCCATGCCCCCCCCCCCCGCCTCCCTGCCCCCAAATTCACTCTCAGGTGGAAGAGAGAGGGAAAGACAGAGAGAAATACTGATATGGGAGAAATACATGAATTGGTTGCCTTCTGCATGTGCCCGGACCAGGACCAGGCCCCAGGTGAGGGAGGAGCCTGCAACCAAGGTGCATGTCCTTGACTGAAATCAAACTTGGGACACTTTGGTCCGCAGACTGACACTCTATATACATTGAGCCAAACCGGCTAGGACCACACTCACACTGTAAAAATATATATGTATATTAGAGGCCCAGTGCATAAAATTTGTTCATAGATAGGGTCCCTAGTGGCTGCCTGCCAGGCCTCCCTTTGTTCCGTGCTGCCCCCTGATGGTCAGTGCATGTCATAGCAAGCAATCGAACTCCTGGTTGGTTGAACTCCTGAGGGGACATTTTGTATATTAGGCTTTTATATATATTGAAGACTTTATTGATTTCAGAGAGAAAGGGAGAGAGAGGGGGAGAGAGAGAGAGGAAGAGAAACATTGATGATAAGAGAGAATCATTGATGGGCTGCCTCCTGCATGCCCCAAACTGGGGATGGAGCCTGAAATCTGGGTATGTGCCCTGACTGGAAAACTGAATCATGACCTCCTGGTTCATAGGTCTACGCTCTACCACTGAGCCATGCTAGCCGGGCACATTCAGACTTTTAAGAGATATATTTCTAATAAAGTATGACATTCACTAACAGTTTCAAGTATATTTTCTAGCTTTTTTGTAATAAAAGGCCCAAAATAGGTGAACCTAAGAGTTGTCTAGCAATCATTGTTTAACAGTTGAAATGAGTTCATTGCTATTCTTAAATGGCTAAGGTTTTTTCTTTGGATAAGGATTACCTCCCAGAAACTTGCATTTTAAAAGATGGCCCAGATAAGTTTTTGAAGAAGACTAGGTATTTGTACCTCAAAGGTACAGGGAAAACCCTAGCTGGCTTGGCTCAGTGGATAGAGTGTCATTCTGTGGTCTGAAGGGTCCCAGGTTCAATTCCGGCCAGGGGCACAGGCCTGGATTTTGTGCTCGATCCCCAGTGGGGGTCATGCAGGAGGCAGCCAATCAATGATACTCTCTCATGATTGATATTCCTATCTCTCTTCCTCTCCCTTCCTCTCTGAAATCAATAAACAAAAAGTCAGGGAACCTGACAGGGATCAGAGAAGATCCCTCATGACCTATATCAGCTGGGACGGCCTGACAGACGGAGCGCACCTCAGGGCCTGAGGGGAAGCCTGCCTGCCTCTCTGGGAAGATTAGAAACTGCTGGGTGTCCCTCAGTTTTGAAAGAGAATGAGTGTAGGCTCTGATTTATCCAGCAAAAGGTTTTGTTTAGATCCTCAGAAAGCAATTCCAGTCGAAAGCCAAAGCTATAAAGGAGCCATTCATTTCTTCCCTGACCTTTAGTTACCTCACTTCTGATCGATAGCCTCGAGTCTCTGAATCCTCAACCCTTCGCTCCATCTTGAGGATTTCAAAAAAGCCTGCATTTAACTCCAGACACAAAGGAAGGAGTGAAAGGGAAGAACATCCTTCCAGTCGAAGGGCAAGGTTCTCTCCCTCTCCGTTGGCACTAGTAACCGGATAGGGAACAGCGAGGGGAAGGGCCTTGACCTGCAGTTGGTGGATTGCCTAGTGCAGTGGCTGGCAAACTGTGGTTCTCAAGACACATGCTGCTCTTTGATCTCTTGACGTTTTAGCAAAGGCCAGCTTAGGAGTACCTTAATTAAGTTAATAACAATGTACCTACCTATATAGTTTAAGTTTAAAAAATTTGGCTCTCAAAAGAAATTTCAATCATTGTACTGTTGATATTTGGCTCTGTTGACTAATGAGTTTGCCGAACACTGGCCTAGTGCCAACTTACATGGTCCATGATCTTAAATCCTGTCACAAGAGTTTTCCAGCGGCTTTTAAATGCTTGTCCTGTGCCCACACAGTGTGGCAATCGGCAGGGAGGGAAGAGAACAGTTTAGTCATGTCCTTCAAGGCCAGGTGGCAAGGACAACAAACAGACTTACCCATGATGAAACAATCCAAGTCACAGTAAGACAAATTGGGTCTTGGCACCAAATATGTTGTAGGCTATGGCAGTGGTCAGCAAACTCATTAGTCAACAGATCCAAATAACATTAATACAATGATTGACATTTCTTTTGAGAGCCACATTTTTTAAACTTCTTCTAACGCCACTTCTTCAAAATAGACTCGCCCAGGCTGTGGTGTTTTGTGGAAGAGCCACACTCAAGGGGCCAAAGAGCCGCATGTGGCTTGAGAGCTGCAGTTTGCCAACCACGAGGCTATGGGAATGGTGCCGGGTGGGGTCAGACCAGACCTGGGTTCAGCAACCTTGGTACTTGAGTTCTGGCTAGGAAAGATTTCAGAGCCAAGACCCAAACTGTAAGAGAACATTTACTTATAAAACCACAGAGCTAGAAGACATAATTTCTAGAAGAAATGGGCATAGGAAACAGGTTATACAGGTAAGGAAAGGCCCTTGGAGCTTGGGTGTGAGGAGGTAATGAAAATGCACGGGGTGGGGAGGGGGGCGATGGAGGAGGGAGAGGAAGAAAGGTGCAGGCTTGCTCCAGAGTGTGCTGGGTCCTCTGACCTTAGGGTTCTCAGGGTGGAGATGTTGGGGAGGTCCTAGAGGGAGATCTCAGGAGAATACTCAGCAGCTTTCCAGGTGCGTCCTTTCAGGGTCTAGATCTCTCTTGATTGATTGATCAACACCAGGGCATGGGGTCATTGGTCATTGCAGCTGGTCCTGAGGTCAGCCATGGGGTCACTGGTCTGGTTTTGCTGCTTTTCTGGACCTGGAGCTGAAATGCAACTGAGGCCTAGATGTCATCGTTAGGATAGAAAAGTCAGGGGCCCAAACCACAGGAGGAAGAAAGAGTGGCTGTTGGAACTCTACATCACTTAGGGTTATGGGGTTGGAGTGTACATTGTCTTCATAGTGCTGGGACACGCAAGTTGAAAATTTATACATTTGTGATCTCTGTTTTACTTTGGCCAAGAAAATTTAAAACTGTGCTATAGCCCAGAGTACATAGGACTCCCACAGGAATTACTTCCCCTGAAGATGAACTCTCAAAGATGACAAAGTATAAAAGCAATCCATGAAGGATAGCCAGCCTATTAGAAAGAGTGGTTCAACAGACTTTAAGTATGGTTAAAGTATAAGGAAGATTTAGAAACCATGCATACCAGTTGGTTTTTTGCTGCATTTATAAACAATACCAAACCCTAGTAGCTTAAACAAGCCTGTGGGTTGAATATGGGATTTGTAGGGTCAGCTATAGGCTAGTTAGTCTGGGATGGCCTCACATGCCCAGCAATTGGTACTGGCTGTCAGGTAGTCCTGGTGCATCAAATAATTCCCCAGGAATCTCTACAAAACTGCCAGGGATTGTTTACATATTGAACCAAAGGACCATTTCCTACATTAATCCAAGAGAAAGAAAACGTCTCCTCCAGAGAATCTGATACGATTCTAGAATGTTGAGTTGTTGTAGAAACCATTGCATCATATTTAGATCATCTGTACTCAGTCGGTGAAGCGGTAGAGCAACAATTCTCCATTGACAGGGTGCCAACAGTGAGCAAGCGTCTAAGATTTTAAACAGTGTTGGAAGCCATCCTGAAGGAGCTGGAGAAAAGCTAAATACTTCCCGGGTCCTAAGTAGACCTTTCATTCCGAGTTGCTTTTCATTTCTGTAGGGCCTTCAGCCATCAAAGGTAAATAATATCTACGTATATGCATATATAGTTTTAAAGACATTATAATTTTAAATTTCTTTATTGACATTATTATTGATTAAAAAAAATTTTTTTTGAGAGAGAGGGAGAAAGGGAGAGAGAGAAACAACAGTTGGTTGCCTCCTGAACACTCTGCAACGTGGGGATCTAACCAGTGGCCTAGGTGTGTGCGCTGACTGGGAATCGAACCCACGATTTTGGATGCATGGGATAACGTCCCACAAAGTGAGCCACTCGGCCAGGGCAAATTCCTATATTGACGTTCTGATTAATAACCTGTGTTTTCCAGTTTCTTATTAATCATAATTCACAATTGGACAGAGTTTGAAAAATAACCAAAGTACTAGTAAAATATTCTAATAAGCCAGCTTTAAGTTTTTAAGGGAGAAATATATATTTTTTAATTAAAAAGTTTTTTCCTGCTCTTGAAAAGTCTAACCCTATGCCTAATGCACTGTGATGTGACATGTTCTTATGATTAAAAGAAGTGTTTTTAATTAGACACTAAACTAAATTTATAATAATTGTCCCAAGTACACAGAATGTCCCTGGCTGCTTATTGTGTCGCCTGTTGTAGAAGAATGGGAACCTCAGCAACTCCTCCTCCAAAGAGCAACACGTACTGGAAAGATATCAGTGAGTAGTTTGAACAATAATGTTTCCTCATAGGAGCGGTGGCCTGTTGCCAGGGTGGTAGGTTGCCAGGATAGTTTACAAAAGCTTGTTGAACCCAGGATAAATCTGAGCTCTATTTGTCTTCTCTAGGCTAATGGTCCACCCCCAATTTGTAGGCCTAGAACTACACACACTTCTTTTCTTGGGACTCTTGTCTCTCTCACGTGTTTCCTGTTAGATTCATACTAATCCTTCTGAATTTAACTTACGTATTACTGCATTCTCCTTCAGCAGCTAATTATTGTTTAAACTCCTGCAAAGCACTGTGGCGGGCACATGTATGAGAAGTGAGCATCAAAGATGTGTTTGCTTTACATATCCCAGTAGACAACCATAGTCCCTCAATGCAGTGTTGGCAGTGAAAGGGAGAACTAACTACCCTGTTTCCCCGAAAATAAGACAGTGTCTTATATTAATTTTTGCTCCCAAAGATGCGCTAGGTCTTATTTTCAGGGGATGTCTTATTTTTCCATGAAGAAGAATATGGTACACATTTATTGTTAAATGAAAATAAAGGAAATTTATTACCTGTATATGGTACGGTAGTACGGTAGTTGTCAACACAAACCAGACAAACTGTGAATCCTACAGTATCAAGAATTTACTCATTTATTCAATGACAATCATGTCATCATCTTCTGGAACATCATAACAATCCAATTCCTGAATTTCCTGGTGGATTTCTTGTGACTCCATTTCTTTCAGAATCAGTGGACCAAATCTCTCATGTTTAGCCTAGGGGGCCTTATTTTGGGGGGATGCCTTATATTTCACTCAGAAGGAAAGCTGTAAGTAGGTCTTATTTTTGGAGGATGTTTTATTTTCGGGGAAACATGGTATTCCCGCTCCCTTATTTAATGGGATGGGAGCTAACAGGAGTCAGCGGGGAAGCTAGCTCCCAGGACATGGGGTTCAGTTGGGGCACTGGGCCCGGCAGCAGCAGCCAGCGGGACCAGGGCCTTGCTGATGGGGTGGGGGCGGAGGGGGAAGACAGTGAATGTGAGATGAGGTGGTATTTTTGCACCCAGTGTATATCAGGATAGTAAGCTTGGTGTTGATAGCAATTTATTATATTAATGAAAAAATATCAGTCACTTATTATCTGAATATGGCTATTTCCTGTCATTTTTAAAATGAAATTAATCACACTGACTTTTTTTTTCCTTTGAAGGAAACATAATAAAGTTTACCGGATCACTCATTTTAGGGTAAGTGTCAACAGTGAGATACTAATTGGCTTCATTATACTGTTATTTGAAATCCCAATGAAAGTGTTTTCCAGGCTGCATGGGGGAGTGAAAGGTATAGATCTTGGAATTAATGGACTCATCACTGGTTAATCACTGGTTCCACCACAGCAGTGTCAGGTCGCTCCAGTTACTTTACCTTCTGAGCGCTGGTTTCTCTGGTCCAAGTGTACGAGGGGACCCTGCCCACCAGCACTGTTACTCCGAGGAGAGCACCCGCCCTGCAGAGCGGGGACTCACCAAGCAGCTGTCACACACTCCAACCACATCTGGTTTCGGGGTCTAACGTGGGGGAAGAAGGTGAAAATCAGCCGTAGTCAAAATTAGTTTGGGAAATCCTATGAATCACCATAAAACTCTTATGAAAGGAAATTGAGGCTGACTTAGAAAAGCAATTGATTGACATCTCCTTTCCTGTGCTATTTTAGAAGCACTTAATGAACGGAGAGACTCTCTGAAAATTGTATTTCCATTCTCTTTTCTTTTTTCTTGGGGGTGACATGTTAAATGTATGTCTCATACTGCTCTAGTATTTTTGTTAATAATAGTCTATAAATACAAAATCAACTCGATGCTAAAATGATAAAGGAGATATAATTGCCATTTTATCCAAATATATACATTTCTCCATGACATTGTAAGGTCAGGCAAAACATAGATGATTTTTTCCTCTGACTTATTCTAGGCAAAAGATAAATGTAAAGTATAATAGTTTCTTTGTTTATATCATAGTTATATTCAGGAATGGAATGGAAACTAATCACATAATTTTTAGTAAAAAGTTTTGTCTTTCAGGGGAAGCATGATAAAATACCGAATACATTGTCTCTTTTTGGCTGCTCAGATAGGTCCCCAAGAGAGAAAAGAGCTCTTTTCAGTCTTGTCTCTCTTCCTCTGGTGCCATTTAGTGCCTGGCCTTTCTGTTCACCTGCTTTTGCTTTGGGTTGGGAAGTTCAGGGGACACTTAGGTCAGTAATGTTACACTGCGGGCAGCCTTAGTGTCTGGATCAAGGGAGTATGCGAATCAGTCTGATAGGAGGGCGGGGGGATTCATTTTGGGATACACAACAAACAACATACAGGTGACATTTAAAAACTGACCTTAGGTATAACTTAGGAGAGGAGAAACTTTCCTATGTTGGTGATTGAGTACAAACTGACTAATCTTTTAAACAACAGTTTGGTATTATATAGTAAAGTGGAATCATAGTATGCTGTCAGCAAGTCTGTAATTCTGCTTCTAGATATGTACCCTATAGGAACTAACATGTGTGTACAGTGCACCTGGGTGTGATGTGGAATGGTGTTTATAATAGACCCAAACTACAAAGTCCCTAATGCCCATCTGGGTAGAACGGGAAAATTACTTGTGGTGTATTCATACAGTGATGAGCCACAACCATAGGAAAGTGTAAATGCATGAACTAGACACATGCAGCGACATGGATGAAGCTCACAGAGGACTGAACAAAGAATACAGTGTCATCCCATTCTTGTGAAGTTCACAGGCAGCAAAACTGTTGTTTAAGGTCCCATATGCAGATGGTAGACTATGAAGAAAAACAAGGCTATTATAATGAAGTCAGAATAATAATTAGCTGTGGACATGAGAGAGTGAGTCCGGATCAGGAAGGTGCCCATTGTGGGCTTCTGGGATACTTGCTATTAAAGTTCTGTTGTTGTTATTGTTTTGCCTGGATATGGAAATGTAGCTATTATTATTTGTTTAACTGAAATATGTGTATACCTTTACATATATAATTTGCATATATAAAAATATATGGTTTATGCCCATTATTGCAAATATATTATGTTTTCCAATAAGAAATATAAAAAAGTTGCCGAAACTGGTTTGGCTCAGTGGATAGAGCGTCGGCTTGCGGACTGAAAGGTCCCAGGTTCGATTCTGGTCAAGGGCATGTACCTTGGTTGCAGGCACATTCCCAGTGGGGTGTGTGCAAGAGGCAGCTGATCGATGATTCTCTCTCATCGATGTTTCTAACACTCTATCCCTCTCTCTTCCTCTCTGTAAAAAATCAATAAAATATATTTTAAAAATATAGAAAAATTATTATCTTTTTAAGTTAACTACTTAAAGCTTAATAAAAGAGTGACTCTTGTGTTACATTTAGATCATATGTTTAAGATGAATTTTTTGTTTCTTTTTTAGAAGTTCTCTATGTCTTACATATGAACTTCTGGCCCTAAAGAAGTCTTTGACATTAGATACTCAAGTGGTAGAAAGAGAAAAAATGAAGTCATATATATGTATGCATACAGTTCTAGATAAAAGAGAAAATTATGGTAAGTTTTGTGGTAAAGTAATCCTATTTTTGTGACAAATGGGAGCTAGTTATTGAATTTAGAAATGAATGTTTAAAGCACAGTATAAATAAGGTAGGTTCAGCTAACTTTAAGAATCTCCAAACCCTGTGAGAACCAAGTTCCTAAAGAGTTAATTCGAGCCTTGGCCGGTTTGGCTCAGTGGATAGAGCCTGCAGACTTACGGGTCCTGGGTTCTATTCCAGTCAAGGGCACATCCCCAGGATGGGGTGTACAGGAGGCAGCTGATCGATGTTTCTCTCTCATTGATGTTTCTAACTATATCTCTCCCTTCCTCTTTGTAAAAAGTCAATAAAATATATTACTAAAAAAAGAAAGGAGTTAATTGGAATTCAAGTTTGGAGTTCCCCTTTAACTGGGTGAAGTGAAGGCTAGCTAGCTGTTTCAGGATAAACTTGGAGTTCCCCCCTTAGTGGCACTTCAGTCCAGAGGCCGGCCCTCAGTGTTTGTCACTTGGAGATATTTCTGATTTAAGGGCTGTATTCACTCTGCACACTAAACTGGAGAAATGGATTCATAAATATGAATACAAACTTACTTACAGAGGGAAAAATCTGTCTTGAAGGCTAGAAAACCTGTTTCTACTAGTCAGAACATTCCTCTTCTCCATAGTTAGGTTACATGGAAACCTAATTAGTGATCAGACAATTGCTTGGTAAACATGAAATTTTAGAGCAGAAGAGTATCGTTCCATCAAGATGTGAGTAGTCTAGTAAGTCAGCACACTTGACTCGGAGCTGCATATTCCTGCGCTGTGGGCCGGAACAGCCAGGCCTGTTGGTACATGATGGTTCTGAGTGGGCAGGTTCTGCTGCTCCCTGCCACAAGCTGTGTGTGTTACCATTTCACCTTCCTGTATTTCAGCTTCTGTGGTGTCACAATTTCAATCACACAGATCGCTTTTATAGCTTGTAATTTACCTATATAATGAAGCTTAATCTCAGTGAGATATCTAAACTTTAGTATGAGAGGGACTCTTTTTAAGGGACGTTTTCCTGAATGTAGCTACTCCTGTGCTTTATATGGGGATTTTTGTTAAGTTTAGTGTTTTTGTTTCTGTTTTGTTTTTCACCTTTTCCCTGACTTAGAGAGCAATCTTTTTTGGATTGAGAACTCTATGTTTCCATAATGGTTTTTGTTGCTTCAATCAGGTGACAGTAAAAACAGAAAGATGATATTTTATATTTTCTTTTTGAAAAAACCTGGATCAACCAAAGGACTTGTATGCATGCATATAAGCCTAACCAGTGGTCACAGACAACAGGGGGTGGGGACATATGTGGGGAGAGGTTTGGGATGGGAATGGAGGGATGAGGACAAATATGTGATACCTTAAATCAATAGAGACTTTTTTAAAAAAGAGATAAAACCTGGAGTTTAATTATATTTCTCTTTGAAGTATTAGAACTTGTTATTAAGAGTACATACTTGATGTTATTTAAATTTGTAAACACTTTAGGACTCCTTTACCAAGCGCGAAAAGAGCTTCACAAAACAGTAAGAAGAATATTAGCAACCTCAGCCAAGATACTGCAGGGTCCATTTGCTGGTAAGTATCAAATCTTTAACTAGGAATCTCATTCGATGGTCTACATAAGATACTTTTCCATTTTGTGTACTAACATTTATTATAGCAGTGAAATCTTGGGTTGTATTAAATTTTAAGCCTTAATTACTTGAACAATTTTTTCCTTCCAACTTTGAGAATATATTGTTTAGATATTTGTAAATAAATAATGAAACTAAATATACCCTCTTCAATATTTAAAATTTGTTAAGAAATCTCTCATGCTTTCTTGTAATGAAAATACTGCATCTAAAATGTAGATTTCACAACTAGCAACTCTACAATGCAGAGCTAGCTATAAAAGAACAGATCTCTTTCAAAAATTGATGTCATGAAAAAAGAAAAGATGGAAAGCTTTCTAGAATTAAGAGAGACTAAAGAGGCTTAAATCCTGGTTTCAAAAACCTCTCTCAAGACATTTTGGGGCAATTGAAGGAATTTGAATATGGAGTTAGACTGGATTTTAGATCATTTTGGAGGATTCTTTTATGTGTTCTTGAGTGTTACAATGGCATTGTGATTACATATTGGAGAATGCAGGCTTATTTTTAGGAGGTTCAGTATGAACCATGAAAGGGTAAAAGTCATAGGTCCACAACTTCCTTTTACATATATGAAAATAAAAGTCATAGATCTACAACTTCCTTTTACATAGTTTAGAAGAAAATATATAGATCTCTGCATATAGATTGAGCAAATATGACAAAATAAGTTTTTAAATCTAGCTGTGGTAGGCATATGGGTATTAATGTATTATTCTTTTAATTCTTCCAAATGTTTGATTTCTTTTTTAAATATGTTTTTTATTAATTTTAGAGAGACAGGAATGGAGAGAGAAAGAGAATCGTCTATTGGTTGCCTCCCATATGTATCCCAACTGGGGATTGAACCTGCAATCTGGATATGTGCCCTGACTGGGAATTGAACTGGTGACCTTGTGGTGCATGGGACGACGCTCAACCGAGTCCCACTGGCCAGGGCTGTTTGATTTTTTTTTTTATAATGAAAAGTTTTTTTAGGAAAAATAAAAATAAAAAAAGATTATATCAGCTATTATCAATACCTGGAAATAGATTTAACTCTCCTATTGTAGATTTCAAATATTTATAAATTACCACTCTAAATAAATGGGAGGATAGCCCTATCTGATTTGGCACACTATACAGAGCTTAGGCCTGCAGACCGAAAGGTCCTGGGTTCGATTCTGATCAAGGGAACATACCTGGGTCGCAGGTTCAATCCCAGGCCCCAGTAGAGGCGCGTGCAAACCGATGTCTCTCTCATACTGATGTTTCTCTGTGTCTTCCTCCCTTCCACTCTCTCTGAAAGTCAATGGAAAAATATTCTCGGGTGAAGATTAACAAATAAATAGGAGGATAGAAATGTTTGTAGCTGTTCACATTGCTCATATTGTCTTTTTCTTTCTTTTTGCAAAGACACCTTTAGCACAGTTGACATAGAAGATCATGAATGTGACGCGTGGCTGCTCCTGAAGAAGAGCAGGTCAGGCGACAGGACGGCCCGGTTGCAGGCTGTGCAGGCCATGTCGGAGGCCCACCACTGGCATGGTAATGACCCAGCACAAGTGCACATTGCCACTTCTCCACTTCTGATACAAAGGGGAAGGGAATGAGATTTTAAGGAAGGAAATAATCCAGGCAATCTAAAAATACATTAAAAATATTTTCAGAAATTAAAAAAAGAAGCTCCAGTGCAAACCCACTGGCCTGGTAACCAGCCTAAGAACAGCTTCAAAACCGAGGTAGATCTCTTTGTGTAACCTTGTAGCAGAACCAAGTTTTATTTGATTAGAGAAACTCTTGATTCTCATAGTTATGGCCTCATGTTGTATTACATTTTCTTGTGGTTCCTATTTAATGAAATATATTTTAATTGCTTGCTGCACCATAGCATTATATTTGCTTTGACTTGACAATTGGCCTAATACTAATAATTAGTTAAATGTATCTGATTCATGTGTATATATCATTGTAAGGGGTATGTAACAAAAATACCATAGATCGGGTGGCTTAGGGACAACAGAAATGTGTCTCTCATAGTTCTGGAGGCTGGAAGTCCAAGATCAGGTGCCGGCAGAGTTGGGTATCTGGGAGGCCCTGCTTCCTCGTTCAAGGCTGGCCATCTTTTCTTTGGGTCTGACCTGGCAGAAGGGACCTCGCAGCTCTCGGGGGTCTCTTTTATAAGGGCACTAATTCCATCATGACCTACTCATCCCCAAGGCCCTTCCTCCAAATGCTATGACACTGGGGATTAGGTTTCCACATATGGATTGGGGGGAGACAAACAGTCAGCCTGCAGCAATCGATAAAGAATGGAGTGGTGAGTCATGAAGGCAAAGATAAAGTACCTCATACACTACACCAGGTTGGGGTACGTCCGATCTGCAGGCCATATTAAGGCCCACAAAATCATTTGGTCTGGCCCTGCCAAAGCTTTAGGGGTGAGTTAATTAAATGTTTAACCAAACATAGCAAGCTAATTTTAAGTTGATAATTTTGTATGACCCACAAATGATGTTATAAATATCCACATGGCCCTTGGCAGGAAAAAGGTTCCCCACCCCTGCCCTACATGGACATCATGGATGTATCATACGGTTACCAGAACAATAGACCTAACTGCAATTGCAGGCTTTGGAGTGGCAATCAAAACAGTTTTGAATGCTAGAATTATTTTTAAAGAGAAGATAAATTGGTTCTCACCTATTAACTTTCACATTTGAAGTTCCTCTTTTCAAAAATGTTAGTTAGACCCTGACATACCCAGATACATGTTGAGGAGAATTGTGAGATCAGATATGGAAATGATGGGTATTTAGCTTATTGATGTTGTAGTTGTGAAAAAATACTTGGGACTTATAAACTTGTAATTTAAAAATTAGAATGCTTTCAAGTAGTTTGTCCATTTAGTCCTTGAAACTCTAAGCCAACCTGAGAGCTAACGGCATACTTTTACAATAGATTACCAGTATAGGACAATTGCTCAAGCCTGCGATCTGAGAACTCGTATTGGTTTGGCACGAAGCCAAGAGAGTGATCTTCGCTTTTTTCTCCCTCCACCTCCTCTACCAGCTTTAAATGAAGTAAGTAAATAAAATACAGAGAGTGAAAAATGGTTTAATCTACAGTCTTCATTTTGGGTGTATAATAAACATTCAAAAAGTAATTTGTTAGCTACCTTTTACAAGAAAGTAAAGTTTTCCTACAAAGAGTTCTTGATTCCTCAAGAGATGCTGTTTCTCCATTATTTTCCCCTTTGGGGTATCGGGAGTCTCTTGCACCAGAGGATAACTTCATAGCATATCCGCATCCATGAATTGGTCCCTTGACCTAAGGTTGCTTTTAGGTTAGTTTTTCTCAACTTCAACACTATCGACATATTTGGCCAAATAGCTCTTTTTAGTGGAGGGTGTTAGTCCTATGCATTGTAGGGTGTTTAACAGCCTCCTGGCCTCTTCTCGTTAGATTCCAGCAGCAACTCCAAGTGGTGACAACCAAGCCTGTTTGCAGGCATTGCGGGATGCTTCCCGAAGTGCCACACACAGCTGGAGAGCCACTGCATAGTCACTGATGTCTGCTACAGGAGATCCCCGTTGTTAGCCAGCAGTACAGACACTTGAGCATGTTTCTTGAGTACCTTTCCTAGACTAGAAAAGGAAAAATCTGAAAAGTTGCTACCATGTTCTGAAGAATAGAAAAACAATTATACTAGGTGTAAGTTATTAGGGAAAATCAGATAGTAATGAGTTCTGGATTTTAAAAGCCAGCTAGAGTTAGAAAGGGTAATAATCATTTGAATTAAGAAGTGAAGTAGCCCAGGAGGTGAAATGTAGAGCTGTACTTGGCCAGAGGTCTTCGGTTTGGATAGCAGATGTGAAGGCAAAGCATTCAAAATTAAATGATGTGTTTACCTGGGTGGGTGACTGTTTTTTGAGACTAAAAGCACTAATTTATCTCTGCATGTTTTTGTGTGATTGTTTGTTGCTTGTTTGGCTTTCTTTGTGTACTCTGTTCGGTTGTTGAGCTTAATCGTGAAGAATTGATTTTCCTTGTTCCAGGACACTTCCATTGAAGAAGAGCTCAGACACTTGCTGGCCTCTTTACCTCAGACGGAGCTGGATGAGTGCATCCAGTATTTTACATCTTTGGCTCTGAGTGAAAGCAGTCAGAGTCTGGCAGCTCAGAAGGTTAGCTCATCTGTTCATTCTGTAAATATTTCTGTGTTTCCACTCTTTCCAAGGTCTTGTGTCGATGGCGTGGCTCAGTGGTTGAGTGTCAACCTATGAACCAGGAGGTCAAGGTTCGATTCCTTGTCGGGGCACATGCCTCGGTTGCGGGCTCGACCCCCCAGTGTGAGGCATGCAGAAGTAGCTGATCGTTGATTCTCTCTCATCATTGATGTTTCTCTCTCTCTCTCTCTCCCCATCTCCGTTCCTCTCTGAAACTAATACAAATATGTTTAATAAAAAGATTGCTGCCTTCTAGGAATAATTCCATGATTTCTATTCTAGTAAGCAACAGTTTGCATAGCTAAAGTCCCCATAATATTTAGGGACCTACTTATCAGTCTTTTCTAATACTGTATGTAATACGAAGATTTTTTTTGCCGAAACCAGTTTGTCTCAGTGGATAGAGTGTCAGCCTGCGGACTGAAGGGTCCCAGGTTCGATTCTGGTCAAGGGCATGTACATTGGTTGCGGGCACATCCCCAGTAGGGGGTGTGCAGGAGGCAGCTGGTTGATATTTCTCTTTCATTGATGTTTCTAGCTCTCTATTCCTCTCCCTTCCTCTCTGTAAAAAATCAATAAAATATATATTTTTAAAAAGATTTTTTTTTTTGTTCAACAAAAAATATTAGTTATGTTTTCAGTAAAAGTTTTAATTTTCTTCCTTTCAGGGTGGCTTGTGGTGTTTTGGAGGAAATGGACTTCCTTATGCTGAGAGCTTCGGAGAAGTTCCCTCAGTGACAGTGGAAATGTTCTGTTTAGAAGCTTTAGTAAAGCATTCTGAGGTAACTTACATTTTCATACATGATTTATCTTTATGATCACATTGAAAAAATTACACGTGTTCATTTAAGGGAAATTATTCTCATTTATTATAAAAGAAAAAAAAAAACTTTTGCTTGTTTTAAAATTTCTGCTTTCCCCCACTCATTTGTTCAAATTGCTAATCATGTTTTAGCAGCAATATATGAATTTCATTCCTGCTAAGTATGTCTAAAAATGGATGTAATCTTACTTGCACTTGAAAAAAGCAATGTGTTGTCTAAATACAGCATTTGTCTTTGAGCTATGCTGTCTTTTACTACCTTTCTCAGATCATTTTTACAAGTAATATTATCACAAAGTTAATTTCCATTAAAACCTGTCCAAGATGTGTCAAGACAGAAAAAAGAAAGCACTCGAACAACCAAATTTTAACCATAGCATATGCCAGTGATCGTCATATTTCTTGGCTTTACCACAACCTTCCTATTATGATTATAGCTTGATTTTAAAAAGAAAAAAATATCAAACTTTATGGTGCTCCAACATTAGTGCGTAAAAATTACGTGTTAAAAACACGCATTTCCTGCTCACCTGTATCAATTTTCATTCACTGATGTGGGGTGGAGTCCGGCATCTCTGGTGAGGCTGCTGCTGGTGGTTCTGGTCATCCCCCGTGGTGAGGAGCATCTTCCTGCACATCCTGAACTCTCCCGTTAAATGTTGGGATCTATCAGACATGGCTCAGGACACGGGCTTGCTTGGCACCTACTTCCCACCTGTGGAATTAGGGTCAAGGACAAAGCAGAGTTAGTAAAATATCGGACTGCTGAAGGGAATGGGGGACAACGAGCTTGAGTTTTTGTGACTTAGTCTAGTATCTGAAGCAGAGGTGCCGCTGCAGTAGAAGATGCAGTGCATGGAATACAGTAACCTTTCCAGAAGCCTCTCAGCCTCGTACACATCACAACCGATAGACGTCGAAAAGGCATATTTTAAATGCACGTAAAATGTGATAAAATTTAATAAAAATGTAGAGAATGAAAAGAGTTGCATATACGTGAGTGACATGGTGTCATATCAGCGAGTACAACTAGAGATGGAAAGAGGCAGCACACCACAATGACGTGCTGGCCATTCTGTCACCTTACCTTAGTGTACATATTTCCTTTGGTCTTTCATCTTTTTTCTCTATTAAAAATGCATATTCTGCCGAAACCGGTTTGGCTCATTGGATAGAGCGTCGGCCTGCGGACTGAAAGGTCCCGGGTTCGATTCCGGTCAAGGCAGCTGGTTGATGTTTCTCTCTCATCGACGTTTCTAACCCTCTATCCCTCTCCCTTCCTCTCTGTGTAAAATCAATAAAAAATATATTTTTAAAAAATGCATATTCCCTTTTTTTTCTATTTGTACTAGATCATTCTCTTTAAAAAGTTTTCTGACTCCTGAGCTCAGACAGTCCCTATCGCTATGATTCTAATGTAGTTTTAAGCCATCAGAGTAATCACCAGAAATTGAAACAGTTCTGTAATAATGATGCTGTTAGGTTATTTCTGACCAAGAGCTAAATAGAATAACTTTAAGAATAACAATTTCAGAAATCCTGGTGAGATAACTTATTTTTTCAATGACTTAGAAGCACTTCCTATGTCGACAGGGGCTTGTGTGTTAAGTAAGCTGAATTGAGAGGTTGGTGGTCTCTCAGGGTCTCTGTCCTTGAGCAGGGCCCACCTGGCTGCCCAGTCGCATGCTGCTACCTGCTTAGTGAATGTGTACGACATAAAGTGGGCTTCCATTCATTTATTGTGCAGATACCCACACACTGTGATAAAATTGAAGCAAACGGAGGCTTGCAACTACTTCAGAAGCTGTACCAACTCCACAAGGACTGCCTGAAAGTACAGAGACATATCATACGTATCATTGGGAATATGGCTTTGAATGAACATCTTCATTCAACTATAGTTCACTCAGGTAACAACTTTGTATGCTGAGGGCTTGGGATCCAGTTCTTTGTCTTCCTACCTCCATCTCTCACGATATATTCACCTTTTCAACAGACTGAAGACTGCCTAGGACAAGTTATCGGTCCTACAGCATGTTGTTTTAGTGTAGGGGCAAGGAATTGCTTTGTTATTTGGATAATCCACACCTAAGTTAATCAGTGTATGGCAGACACATGAGAGCAGTTTTTGCTGATGATCGCCTAAATTTTTATATCTTTGATATGAATGATTCTTAGAGACCAAGATCTGGGTACTATGTGTGCTTATTGCTCCTGGGGTGTCTTTATTCTTGACTTTTTCAGTAGAAAAAGCTGTGATAAAAAAACACACACACATACATATATATATCTACATACATATCTGCATATGTACAGTTGACCCTTGAACAACACAGGTTTGAAATGTGCAGGTCCACTTATATGTGGGTCCACTTATATGTGGATTTTTCAATCTATACCTGTACTATTTTAGATCCACCATTGGGAGTCCGAGGATGTGAGAGCTGCCTGGCTGCATTGACTATGCCAGTTTTATAGGGACTTGAGCACCCATGGAATTTGGTTTCCAAGGGGCCCTCTAACCAATTCCTGGCAGATACTCAGGGGCAACTTAAGTTTCTGTAGAGTCTAAAATTATATGAAGATTTTCAACAGCATGGGTTGGTGGGACCTAACCTCCTCGTTCAGGGTCAACTGTATATGCATATGTTCCTACATTTACATGTATTAGAAATAAAGAATTTACATTTAAGAGTGTCTTTTGATCAGAAGAGGAATCAGAAAATTCTATCAAGGACACCACTTACAAATAAATTTTATTTATTGCTCTTTTTATGGGTTCTTAAGTTAGGAACTTAGATCACTGATTTCAACCTTTTTCTTGTTTCAATTATATATTACTATGTATCAAGCCATCCCACAACTCACTTGTTAAAACAGCAGTTTGGTCAGCTGTGGGCAGTGGATGCACTTTCCAGATCATTTGCTCACAGGGCTTGCAAGTTGGTGCTGGCTGGCAGCTGGGAGCTCTGAAGGGCCGGGGCCATTGGCTTCTTTCTACATGCTCCTTTCCGCCAAGGCCGAGAGAGAGCCAGGCAGACCTAGGACCACCATTTTCTGAAATCTCTGCACCACCCGAGACGGATGATGGGATTTAGGAGGTGTGTTCTCCTCTCCAGGCTGGGTTTCCTTACTGGCAGAAGCACTGAAGTCTCACCACATTGTGGAGGCCTCACATGCCGCCAGAACCCTGGCTAACCTAGACCGAGAGACGGTGCCGGAGAAGTACCAGGATGGCGTGTACGTGCTTCACCCCCAGTGCCGCACGAGGTAAGAGAACAGCGTCCTCTGTCCCGGTGGGGATGGGAAGCCACAGGCTTCCTGTTTTATTTATTTCCGCATCATTTAGAGAAGTTAAAAACCTTCAGATAAGACGGTCACACCTTATATACACGGAAAGTTGTCCTCCTCGCCTCAGAAGAATCGCAGGCTGCCACAGAGCATGGGAGGAGCCTAGTTCTCAGGGTTGTTTCACACCAAAGGCTTGTGTCCAGGAAGGCGGCCTTCACCTTGCATTACAGGTCGCACTTTAACTGTGTGCGCGTATTTCTTTGTCTCAGAGCACTTTCCACGTAGACTCAATATCTGATCCAGGTGGTACAGGTCGTTCTGGATGGGAAGGAGATAGGACATTATTATTTATATGCAGGCAACCACATTAGCCTGGGCCTAGCCCTCCAGGGACTGGAAAAAGTTGATGCCAGGTTTAAAAGCATGGTAATAACGAAACCGGTTTGCCTCAATGGATAGAGCGTCGGCTTGGGGACTGAAAGGTCCCGGGTTCGATTCCGGTCAAGGGCATGTACCTTGGTTGCGGGCATAGCCCCAGTAGGGGGTGTGCAAGAGGCAGCTGATCGATGACTCTCTCTCATTGATGTTTCTAACTCTCTATCTCTCTCCCTTCCTCTCTGTACAAAATCAATAAAATATATTTAAAAAATAAAAAAATTAAAAAAAATAAAAGCATGGCAATAAGTCGTAAAGGAAGCAATAAGTCGTAATAAATCTTACACGACTCCTCAAGGTCATTCTGGCTACCTTTTCCAGTTGTGTCATCGACAGAAAGGACTACAATGAAAAAGTTACATATTTCTTAGATTTTGTCAGACACTTTAAAATATTAACTCAGAAAAGAGCAAAAACTTTTTTTTTAATTTGAAAAATGGATTGCCTACTTAATTCCGATTTGTAAGTAAAATACTTTGGTATAGTTGTGTGAGCCCTATAAAAAGATGTAAGTAATATACTATCTACATATTTTAAATGTCATACCCAAAGAAAGAATATTACTTTAACATGTCATTAGCAGCCGGCTGGAGTGGCTCAGTGGTTGAGTGTCACCCCATGAAATGAAAGGTCACCGTTCTCTTCCCGGTCAGGGCACATGCCCAGGTGGCAGGCTCGCTCCCCATAGGGGTTGTGCAGGAGGCAGCCGATGGATGGTTCCCTCTACATCTCTCCCCTTTCCCTTCTCTAAAATCGATAAAAACATATTTTTTAAAAGTCATTCGCTCTATTTCTGATAAACATTATCCTTGGTAAATTTTTGAAAATCCCTTTCATGCACACTGACTTTGAAACTACTCTAGCATATTCTTATTTAATTTTTTAAATACTTACCAATTTGTGGGACAGTACCATAGAGTTCTTTGTAGGGCAATCTGACATGTGTCACTTCTCTCATCACGTGACTCACTGCAATTGATTTTAGTTGGTCCATCTGGCTAGATGTCCCCATTTCTATGGAGCAGTGAGCAAACTCCGTGCATGGCTTTGCCAAACTCCTTGCAGGGTTCTTCAGCAGATGTGGGCTCCTAAAGCTTGCCTTCATTTTTATCTTATGTCCCGTAACCCTGCTAAGCACCATCCACAGAGTGTGCTATGCAGATTCTCACCAAAACAATAATGTGTTCATTCTGCTTCTCTTTAAAACTCTCTCCCCTGTTAGTCAGCCCATTAAAGCAGATGTCCTTTTTATTCACGGCCTTATGGGAGCAGCATTCAAGACGTGGCGTCAGCAGGACCAGGCGCTCACTGAAAAGGTTTCAGGGGATGAAACCAGATATACGACGTGTTGGCCCAAGGTAAGGATTCGGCTGACTCTGGTTGGCCACCTTTGTCACGACGCGCTGCGTGTCACTGCCTGTCGGACCCTGACTGTGACTTGCTTTTCTATTTCTACTGGGATTTTTTTTCCTTCTGCAATGTTTCCTTCCTTTAGTGACACCTGTGGTGTTATAAGAACAGCTGGGCTTATCACCTTGTGTAATTTGTATACAGTCTCTGACTCTAAAAAATATCCCAATAAGTAAAAAAACAGGGACAAGGGCCAGTAATCATTCACTTCAATTAAAAATATAATACAGCCCTGCTAGGTTTGGCTCAGTGGATAGAACGCTGGCCTGAAGACTGAAAAGTCCCAGGTTCAATTCTGGTCAAGGGCACATGCCTGGTTTGCAGGTTCGATCCCCAATAGGGGCGTGCAGGAGGCAGCAATCAATGATTCTCTCTCACCATTGATGTTTCTATCTCTCTTGCTCTCTCTTCCTCTCAGAAATCAATAAAAGTACACTTAATATATATATAACAACAAATATATATATATAACAAATAGGATATTACAGGCATGGTAGTTGGCTAGTTCTATGATTTTAATAATGATAAAAATAAGACTTTGAAGAAGTAATTCTACTTTGAATTTTTTGACATTGTTTCTTCCAAAGAGCTTAACCCTGAGCTACAGTCCCTGAGCGGGAGCTCCTGAAGCTCAGTGATGGTGCTGGAAGCTGGAGAGAGATCCCAGGGCTTGTCCCGCTCTGCTCACTCCCCGCCATAAAGGCTGGTCAGCAGGAGAATGGCTTTTACTCAGTGATGACATTGAGGTCTGGGGATAACGACAGAGCCTGGCCGGTAGAGACAGAACTGGGACTGTAATGAATGGCTCTGAGTGCTCAGGCTGAGTCTCTAACCATCAGACCATACTGTCTGTCCTGAGGTCATAGCTTTCTGTGAAGTGCTTTCAAAAAGCCATTTTGATCCAGACTCAGAAACAGGCCTTGCTTCTGGCTGTAGCAGATTAAAACAGAGTATCCTCCGGACACCACTGGCCTGCTACTTATGCCACCTGTGACAGAGACATGGAAAGAAAATGCCGGCCTTTTCCTCTGGTCATGCGGTTTTTGGTCAATATTGCAGGAGTCCTTTAGTTATGAATTTCGTTACTAGGAAACATAGGGGCTGTGGAAAGCCATGTATGTTCTTTTGTCCCTTTTATTTTACATAGACATGGTTAGCAAGAGACTGTCCCGCTCTCCGGATTATATCTGTGGAGTACGACACCAGCCTCAGCGACTGGAGAGCGAGGTGCCCGACAGAAAGGTAACGGACGCTTTGGGATGGCGAGGGCCCAGGCCACAAGTGGGCCCCCAAGGAGGGAGACGGAACTTCTTATGAAAAACTAACCTTTTCCTCTCTTCTCGGGGCGTAGCCACCCTTCAATTAGCGGTAGACGGAGTCAGTGTTGGGCTCCTGACGTGGCCACTTGCAGCTCTTCTAGGAGAAGGACACGGAGCCCATAGCAAAGCGCCCTTCCCTCCTTTGGCTTTGTGTTCACGCTCCCACTGGCTGAAGGGAGCGGAGAAAACGATGCTGAGCGATAGAGGCTCCTTAGGCCCCTTGCCTGTCACCCGTGCACTTGTGTGTACGGGAAGTCACAGACTTTAGCTGAGGACATAGACGGTAGCCAGTCTCCCTCTGACTCACTGTGTGACCTTAGACAAGTCATTACTGTATGGAGAGCTTGGTCTACAAATTGGGAGGCTCAGTCTGAGTCTTGGGGTTCTGAATGGCTCCCTCCTAGCTGCTGGAAACGGTGCTGAGGGTGGGGAGACAGGACACAGGGCTCCTCCCATTTCACCCAGAGCACTCTGACGAGCCTTTATTCTGAAGAAGGATTCCACAGGTAAACAGTTGGAAACTTCCAGACCAGACAGTATTGACATTCCCGTTTTGAAAATTACTCATTTTGAATGCTCTCATTCTAATAGCTTTCTGATATTTTTTATTTTAAAAAAATATATTTTATTGATTTTTTTACAGAGAGGAAGAGAGAGGGATAGAGAGTTAGAAACATCGATGAGATAGAATCATCGATTAGTTGCTTCTTGCACACTCCCTACCGGGGATGTGCCCGCAACCAAGGTACATGCCCTTGACCAGAATCGAACCTGGGACCTTTCAGTCCGCAGGCCGACGCTCTATCCACTAAGCCAAACGGTTTCGGCGCTTTCTGTTATTTTTAAGTAACAAACTAAAATAATGTTTTCAGCCTCAATACAACGATTCAGTACAATGACAGCAGCCTTCCTGTAGGCAAACCACAAGAAAGAGGCCACTAATGAGAAAAGTCCCATGTCCTAAGTGCTGGGGGCAGTTGGTGTGAGACCGACCTTTGACCTGTGAAAATTGCCAGACTCATATAGATGCTCAAACAGTGCTTGTTTAGTATAATACATGAATGGCTTGTTCTGGGCTTAGATACTCTCAACTACGCCGTGTGACTAGGTTAGAAATGGAGAATGAACAATTGCAGAGGTTGAGCAGAGAGAATAGGGAGGGGTATTCCTGACTCCAGATGTAGCACTAGCATTGGTCCATAAACAAAAGCTCTTACCTTAACAACTGGATAGCAAACTTTGGGGCGATCAGCAGCCTCCCGTCATGCCTGCTGTTTTCATTTTGTTCAGAAAGACCATTGCATTCAGGAGCAATGAACTTCTCCAGAAACTCCGAGCTGCTGGTGTTGGGGACAGGCCGGTGGTGTGGGTGTCACACAGCATGGGGGGTAAGTGCCTGTCAGCCGTGCGGGCTACCTGAGTGACTGCAGCTCTCTGTCTGCTTGCGAGACTTCCCCTAAATAAATGTTCTCTGCGGCCGGGGCTTTCAGAATTCCTCTGCCCTTCGCCGAGAAGGGGCAGCTAGTGACAAACCATAGAAAAGGGATATGAGGTTGACAGCTTAATGCTGTCATTAACAGTAATGCATAAACATCAGAAGCAGTCCCTGGCTTCTAACCAGCCGGACCCGTGGCTGTTCCTGGCTGGTTCCAGGGCTCCCCTTTCTTCCCTGCACCCCAACCACCGCAGAGCCCAGACTGTTCTAGTGCCACAGCCACAGCCCCTTCGTGCCTGCCGCCCGGCCCTGCAGGTGCCCGCTCTGCGGCTCCTTGTGCCCGCTCGCTGCGGGCTCTCCAGCCCTGTCCCCAGTCCAGTTCTGAGTCTCGCCGCCCACCTCGCAGAGGCCTTTCTGAGGTGCGCAGGCGCCGAGGGCAGCGTTCAGCTGAGGGAGGCAGTGCCGCCATCTCCGTGACCTTGTGTTCATTGCTGGCTCATGCCCACGGGCACAGAAGGGGCCTTCCTGGTGCGTTTCGCACAGAAGCTTGTTTTGCACAGAGTTGGCTTCATGGACTGCGTGCTTTAAGATATTAGTACTGTCCTAGCGGAGGGCACCAGTGGGCCGCGGTGGGCAGGATGGAGACTGGCAGCTGCATTTTCGCTTCATTGACGGACACGTAACAGACCTGATACGCCTCTGAGGGACAGTGCAGCCTGGGGCACAGATGAGCTTCTAGACTCTTGTTTGTGGGTGAGAGTCTGACCTAGAGGACAGGGAGGATTAGCCAGTGTCGATATTTTAAGGCCCTGAATATTAGACTACAGAGAACTATTCTTAAGCTGTAAAGAAAGCTTCTCTGTAGTTCTTGTTTTGCATATTCTGGGTTTAAGAGCAGTGGAGGGAAGGAAATAGCTTCTGCCTTCTTTGTCTTCTCTGTGGCCAGGCCTTCTTGTCAAGAAGATGCTGCTGGAAGCATCTCAGAACCCAGAGATGAGCACGGTGATAGACAACACCCGCGGGATCATCTTCTACAGCGTGCCTCACCACGGCTCCCACCTGGCCGACTACTCCGTGAACGTCCGCTACCTGCTCTTCCCCTCGCTGGAAGTCAAGGAGCTCAGCAAGGGTAACCCGATCTGTCCTGAGGGAAATGGGACTATTCACATCAGTTTCCTGGGGAGGGAGAAAAAAGAGTTTCTAACCGGATTAGATCATTGCATTTTACTATTTGCATATGAATTGTTAGACTCTCACCGAAAATGTTCATTTTGCGTCTGGCTTTTCTTTGATACTTCTCATTTTTGTCTCAAGCCATTGTTTGTTCAAATATAACAATTTTAATACTATGTAATATATATATATATATATATATATATATATATATATATATATATATATATTTAGTTCTGAGATTCTGTATAAATTTTTATTATTTGCAATTTTTAATTGGAAGGTAGGAGAATTACAAGGGCTCGTATATGAAATTATAAGTCTGCTTGTTAAGTAATCTTACATATAATGTGCTTAATTACAGCTAGGACTGGAATAGCAGCGGAGACGGACCAGGGCAGTGTGGGGAGTATGGTTGGGGTTGGGGGGAGGGAGGGAGCTAGTGTATTAGGTCTTAAATGATATTGGTGAATATTAGGGAGAGGCAAAGTTACTTTAAAAGGAGTGACTGACTTGATTTTGTCAATATCTGTACTGGGAAGGGCCCAAAGTGGTCTTGGAATATCCTATAACAAATATTTAGTTTCAAGATTATTTTCCTCTTTAAAATCATTATTTTTCCAATTGATTTAACATTTGATTCATTTGGTTCTAAATACATTTCACCTTCCAGGAAAAGGATATGTGGGCATTGTGGGTTTTAAGAAAATTTCTTATTAAGTCAGATGGAAAGGACAGGAACCATATGATTTCACTCATATGTGGGATATAAAACAGAAAGCAACAAAAGAAACGAAACAAACTCATGAACACAGCCAAGAGTAAGGGGCTCACCAGAGGGCTGCGGCTGGGGGCAGGCAGGAAGGATAGAGGGTCAGATACAGAGAGGGAAGGAAGCCAGACTTTAGTGGTGATCATGCATTGCAGTGTACAGATAATGTGTTATAGAATTGTACATTGGAACTTACAATACTATGTAAAATATTTAAAAATTTAAATTACATAAGGTTTTAAGTATAATTCCAAATTACCAATTGCTTTTATCCATGAATTTGGAAAATCATCAACTGTTAAAATATGCACACACGTTGAAGGTTTTCACCATATCAGCTGCAAAGCATTATATACAGGGCAGGGCCAAAGCAGGTTTACAGTTGTTCACATGGAAACTGACAAATAATAATACAAGATTAAACTCTGTGTTTTGCATAGTCACAGCTGTCAACCTACTTTTGCCCACCCTGCATTTGCTTTCATTAGTCAGCGTTTTCTTACCCTGGAGTACCTGTGGGTCAGAGCTTAACGTGCCAGATGTCTCTTTATTCCTGTTTCCTCTCACCTGCAGAGAGAGTTAATTTTGTTGAACCTTTTGTTGAATTCCATTTTTGCAGTCAAATTTTATTTTCATAAGCTATTTCTTGTTCACTGATACCTTATCCTTTGAAATCATTCTGAAGAGACAGATTAGTGGGGGTTGTAAGTTTCTCTCTGTTTCTCCCCCCTCCGGTTTTCTGTTTGCTCCTCACATCTGACTTTCTAATACTCTGAGCTTCGTGGTCGTCCTTTCCTGAGGCTGAGGGTTCTGCTGTAGACAGGCTGTGGTATGGGAGGCTGTGCTGTAGGGTGGGTGTGGGATGCCAGCCAGCACACGGCAGGGGGGGGGGGGACCCCCGAGTCCCACACACTGGGGGCTGCTTCCTGTCAGCAGTGATGTGGGAGCTCTCCCCCCAAAACTGGCCGCTTGTTTTTGCATTTAGCCCTCTACTCTCAGCTTAAGGAAGTAGAGGCGGTAAACAAGCCACCATCCACATTAGAACCCAGATTTTCCCTCACATTTGGAAGGTTAATGTATTTTATTGTGAATTGGATAAACAGAGCCTGTCACAGCCCTATTCTCTACAATTTCAGATTGTCCTGCGCTTAAGGCACTACAGGATGACTTTCTGAAGTTTGCTAAAGACAGAAACTTCCAGGTGCTGAGTTTCGTGGAGACACTACCAACGTCCATTGGGAGCATGCTCAAGCTCCACGTGGTGCCTGTGGACTCAGCAGGTACTCACTCCCCTGCAGGAGCGTGCCGGCCGTTACACACCTGGTTGGCGATGCCTCGCATTTAGTGATAAACGTCAGCTTTTACATTTAGTTTCTCCGTTTTAGGGAGATCTAGATTCTAATCCTGTTATTCTTTTCAGCCACAGATTAACATTTCTCCAAAAACATATAACCTTGGTATTACCACTCCCACCCTTCATTTAGTTGATTAGATGGCAAAGGTTAATTGGCTAACTCTAAATCAGCCATCAACAGTGAACTCTGTTGCATTCAGGTAAGAACACAAAACCCTTCTACTATGTTTCCCTGAAAATAAGACACCCTCCGAAAATAAGACCTAACACATGGAAAGATAAGACATCCCCTGAAAATAAGACCTAACGTAACTTTGGGAGAAAAAATTAATATAAGACACTGTCTTATTTTCGGGGAAACAGGGTATTAGCTAGACTGAAAGGGGCTTTTCATTTAAAAGACTGATACCTGAATGCAGAAACCTTAAAAAAGATCACCTAAAGGTATGGAGGCTTTAGTAAATAAATGGAAGACATATGGACCATTCAACAAAGATTCTGATGGGAAAAACTAATGTTAAAAGTGGAATCCCTTCATAATTCTGAAGTGAGGGAATGACAGCACCTGCTCCTGCAGTGTATTGATTGCACTGGGCCATCGGCTCTGAGAGGAGGGCCCGAATCTTCGTTCTCCTTGTGGCTCCTTGATTACTCCGTGATGGTAGTGACCCTGCCTGTCGCTCCCGGACTCCTCAGCTTGCTGTGAAACCCTTTTCCGATCACCCGGAAGCGGGCTTAGGTGCTGTCCCAGAGCCCACGTGCCCCCTGCAGCCGGCCAGTGTGAGGCTGGAGCACTTGCTGGGTGGCTCTTTGGTTTGCATAACACGTTTGGTCCGAACCTCCTCCCATGCTACCTAATAAGATGAAAAGCCTTCATGCTCCAGTGAAACCTAGGGATGGTTTTCCTCCAGGAAATGTGCCATAGGGTGGGCAGTTACTATTGAGAAGTTGGAGAGCTTAGGAACAGCTGCTGGTATTTACCAAAAAGGACTTTGGAAGCTTAAACCAAAAGCAAAGTTAACTTATGGACTAACTGCTTGTAGTGACATCGCCTCAACACCATTCTGTGTGTGCCTTGTTCTGGGTCACCTCCATCACCAGCCTGGCTATGGCTAGAATGGACCCTATGTGAGATATTCCCATTCTTTACATCAGGACAAGGGAGCTCATTATCAAGTTTTATAATAAAGACTCTAGAAAAAGTATTTCATTACATTATAGTGACCAGGCTCTATTCACTACTAAATTAGGAAGTATACAAATGAATTTGTGAAATGTATAATTATAATTATACCTTCTGAGAATCCATTCAGGCATGATTAATCAAATATAGTTTAGCTACAGTGAAACTTAGCTAAAGATCCTTTATCTTTTTTTTTTTTTTTTTTTTTTTTTTTTTTTTTTTTTTATATATATTTTATTGATTTTTCACAGAGAGGAAGGGAGAGAGATAGAGAGCCAGAAATGTCGATGAGAGAGAAACATCGACCAGTTGCCTCTTGCACACCCCCTACCAGGGATATGCCCGCAACCAATGTACATGCCCTTGACCGGAATCGAACCCGGGACCTTTCGGTCCGCAGACCGACGCTCTACCACTGAGCCAAACCGGTTTCGGCAAGATCCTTTATCTTTTAATAGTCACAACCGAGTGAACACTTAGAACTGCAAATTTGGCCTCTTTCATTATTGATAGGGGAGAAGCTTACATTTTTACTTAGATTTTGTTCACATTTTTGTTTTCTTCAGATTTAGGCATTGGAGATCTAATTCCTGTGGACGTGAACCATCTGAACATTTGTAAGCCAAAGAAAAAGGATGCTTTTTTGTACCAACGTACCTTACAGTTCATCCGGGAAGCTTTAGCCAAAGACCTTGAAAACTGACAGTTACCTTCCATTGTTCATGTGAAGCTCGTGGTCTCTTTTTTTGAAACAATTATGCAAACACAGTCACTGTGGATCGCGTGGTCTGGAGTCTATTGCAGGCAGCAGAACACTGCAAAGCACAAGCACAGAGTGGCACTCAGAGAAGGAAGGGCTGGACGGATGCTTTTGATTTCAGGGAATTCCGTGGGTGCCAGTGGATGCTGTGCAGTGCTGTCCCTGTGAGCACGCTGCTGTGGATGGAGAGTACCTTGTGTCACCTGTGACCGCCTATGGCTGACGCGAGCGGAGCACTGATGGCTTCTGAAGGGACAGCGCACCGCCAGCTTACCACGACAAGGCTATTGGGAGAGCACCTGGAGTGGGCAGAGAGTGGTCTAGAACATAAAAGACTATTTTTGTTCTGGGATTCCATGTGCTGTAAATTTTTACTAACATGTAAGTGTAAACCTTTGTCTAACATGTTAACTGTTAGACCTGTTGGCACCCATGGGCCAGTTCCTTGTACGTTTTTATTTTCATATGGCTGAGAACAGATATTTCTCTAAAAAAATCTAGCTTATAGTAATGCTTTCCAGACTTTAGCTACCTATACTTGTATTTTTCCCAGATAAAGTAGCTAATCCACTACTGATCACAGTGTGAATAAAACTATTCTAAGCCATTGTATAGATTAGTAACACTTAGTATCAAGGTTCTCAATTCTCTTTAGGCCAAGTAAAACATCCCTTTCTTCCCTGCTCCTTTGACTTCCAGCAAGTGAGAAATAGGAAATCATGTTGACTTTTTCTAAATAATGACATTATTGAGATATAATTCACATTTCATAAAATTTACCTTAATTCAAGGTTGTTTATTTTTAGTAAATTTACAGAGTTGTGCAATCATCACCACTGATCTCAGAACATTTTTATCGTCTCCCGGAAGAACCCCATAGCCCGTAGCAATCACACCTCACCTTTTCTCCCCCAGCCCTGGCAAACACTAATCTACTTCGTCTCTACAGATTTGCGTGTTTTGGACTTAAATATAAATGGAATTATGCATATGTGCCCTTCTGTGTCTGGCTTCTTTCTCCTAGTGTGATGTTTTCAGGGTTCACCCACAAGAAAGCATGTATCGGGGCTTCATTCCTTTTTATGGCCAAGTAAAGCTCCATTGTAGGGATATGCCACACTTGTTCATCTGGTGATGGACATTTAGATTCTTTGAATTTGGGGGTATTATGCTGCTTGAACATTTAGATTCTTTGGAATTTGGGGGTATTATGCTGCTTTTCATTCTCTTGGATGTATACTAGGAGTGGAATTGCTAAGTCTTATTAAGTTCACTAGAGGCCTGGTACATGAATTTGTGCATGGGTGGGGTCTGGCCAGCCAGCCTGCCCCCGATCGGGGCTGATTCGATGGGGCCCACTGGGGGGAGGTGCCACGGGCAGTTGGCCAGTTGGCTACCCCCTGGTTGAACTCCCCATCGAGGGGACAATTTGCATATTAGCCTTTTATTGTATAGGATATAACCATTTTGAAGATGATGGACATTGTAGAATGGGATAATCTAAGCTAAAACGAGTACAGGTCATCAGTAAAACTCTGTCAACATCTAATTGTTTAATTTGCAACAACCTAACAAGTGACTTAACCACTTGTTTTGTTGTGTAGATACAGTGACTGCAAGGTTCCGAGCTAACAATATTAAATAACAAGAAATGCTAACTAATGGGATGTTATGGAGAGAAGGGGTAGATACACTTGGTTCATTTTCTTTTCCTGGTTTCCATGAAAACAATTGTTCATTAACGTAGAGTAATGCAATGAAGCCCCACTCCTTAAATCTCTATAGAGCTGTTAGAGCGGTGCTTTTAAAATGAGGTCTGGGAGAGGGATCCACTGAAGTACTAAATTACATAGTTTTTCAGGCAAGGCACTTACATTTCTTTTTATTCTGCCTATGAAATGGATATAAATGTACATGGGTTGACTTTATCAATTTTGTGATAGTTAAGTCAATGTTTTTAAAATAATCATTGCATGAAAAATGCTTTAAAAACACTAAGTATGAAAACATGTATTTGAAATAGTAGTTTCAAACTTAGACCATCAATAAAACACTCTGGGAATTTGATCAGCTTTGTTTAAATATCCTTTCTGGGGGGAAAAACTCAAAAGCTTCATATCACCTCCCTCATGTGAAAAGTCACTTTTTATGATCTTGTTTAAGAAGGAAGTAAACAGAATATAGGTGTTACCAAATTACTGAAAGCAAGCTGTGAATACAGCTAGAATGAAAATGAAAAGTCAGTTATTTTTACTTATAACCTATTTCTTTATTTCTGGTTACATTTCCCCTACCAGATTACATTGTCACCCCTAAATTTCAAGGGCACCGAGTCCCCTTTTCCCCAGGGTTTACATTAAATGTCGCCACAGAAAGAGACTACAAAAAGGAGGGGCATGATACCTTTCTCACCAGCATCTCAACCAGTCCCCCAGGCTACGCCGACACACAGGATATGGTGGAGGGTGCAGGCCTCCGCCCTGTGCCTGCTGAGGTGGGAGCACCGGCATCCACTTCCTAGTGAGAAGCACAGTGCAGTGAGACAGTGATGTGTCTTGAACTTGGTTCATAATTCACAGTGCCCCTCAAACTCCAATTCCTAAATTTTTACTCCTGAATTTTTACTCCTTCGTAATATCAAATATATTGAATAAGTATTGACATTTGGTATAAAAAATTATGTCCATGCAAAAATTGAAGCATTTAAATGTCACTTTCAAGTACTTCCTACAACTGATTGTGCCCTTGTATTGGATATTGACACTCCCAATAGCTAATCACTTAAAATAGATTGGAAGTTTATGAAAAGTGACATTTTATTATGAAGTGGTAACAGCTCGGCCTGGCCTGTTTCCTCTTGCAATCCGGGACCCCTTGGGGAATGTTGGATAGCGGGATTCAGTCCAATCCCCGCAGGCCCCATCCTGTGCGTTGAGCATCTGTCCCCAGGTGGTCAGTGTGTGTCATAGCGACTGGCCCACCAGCTGTTTGGTCCCTTAGGCATATATATATATATATATATATATATATATATATATATATATATATAATTACCTTAATAGAACAGAAGACATAAATCAATTTAATATCTAAGAAATTTTCAAATTTAGAACAAGCCATTTCTCGTAAAATTTCCTGGTTTTTATGAACACACTTCTTTTTTTAAAAAAATATTTTTTATTGATTTTTTACAGAGAGGAAGAGAGAGGGATAGAGAGTGAGAAACATCGAGAGAGAATCATCCATCAGCTGCCTCTTGCACACCCCCTACTGGGGATGTGTCCGCAACCGAGGCACATGCCCTTGACCGGATTCGAATCCAGGACCTTTCAGTCCCCAAGCCGACACTCTATCCACTGAGCCAAACCAGTTTTGGCTATGAACACACTTCCTAATGTATGTTCAACGTGGTCTTGGAGTTTAGAAACATGGCCATAGAGTTCAGTACCTGGTCCCAGGTTGGGAAATACTAAACTTACTAGAATCTTAGATTTTTAGTTTAATCCAAACTTCAATGCATAATCCATGGATGCATACAGTGGGGTGGTAAGGGCCTGTGGCCAGGGTGGGCTGGAGGGGGGTCCATGGGGGGAAAAGGAGATGTGTAATACTTTCAACAATATATATATATATTTTAAATAAAATATATTTTATTGATTTTGTACAGAGAGGAAGGGAGAGAGATAGAGAGTTAGAAACATCGATGAGAGAGAGTCATCGATCAGCTGCCTCTTGCACACCCCCTACTGGGGATATGCCCGCAACCAAGGTACATGCCCTTGACTGGAATCGAACCCGGGACCCTTCAGTCCCCAAGCTGACGCTCTATCCATTGAGCCAAACCGGTCTTGGCTCAACAATATTTTTTTAAAAAGAAATGAGGCCAAAATAGGTTTGGCTCAATGGATAGAGCGTCAGCTTGGGGACTGAAAGGTCCCGGGTTCGATTCAGGTCAAGGGCATGTGCCTTGGTTGCAAGCATATCCCCGGTAGGGGGTGTGCAAGAGGCAGCTGATTGATGACTCTCTCTCATTGATGTTTCTAACTATCTCTCTCCCTCTCTGTACAAAATCAATAATATATATATATATATATTTTTTAAATATTTTTTATTGATTTTTTACAGACAGGAAGGAAGGAAGAGAGAGAGAGTTAGAAACATCGATGAGAGAGAGTCATCGATCAGCTGCCTCTTGCACACCCCCCAACGGGAATGCGCCCGCAACCAACGTACATACCCCTGACCGGAATCGAACCTGGGACCTTTCAGTCCGCAGACCGACGCTCTACCACTGAGCCAAACCGATTTCGGCTAAAATATATATTTTTTTTTAAAAAGAAAGAAAAAAGAAATGAGAAGCCATTTCAACTGATAACACACAAATACTAAGGTTCACTAGAGACCAATATGAACAATTATATGTTCCACTATCTCTCAGGAAGATAATGTAAGACCCCCCCCCCCGCCCCGCCCATGGACACCATTTATAAACTATATTCCAGGTGCTTTGAAGAGTTTCTATTACCCCAGGCAAAGACAGTAATCTTTTTTTAGAACAACACATGCTAAAATTTTAAATGTTTTTTATTATTATTGATTTTTAGAGAGACAGGAAGGGAAAGGGATAGAGAGATAGAAACATCATTGATTGGCTGCCTCCTGCACACCTCTTACTGGGGAGCAAGCCCGCAACTCAGGTATGTGCCCTGATGGGGAATCAAGCCAGTGATCTCTCGGTTCATGGGTGGATGCTCAGCCCCTGATCCACACCGGCTTACACCATAGCCACTCGAACACAGATTTGTTTAGGTTTCTGTCACCCACTATTATCTGCAGAATAAAATCCTAAACTGTCATGTAAGGTCTTCTGAAGTTCTCTTCCACAGCCAACATCCTTTCCATGTACATAAATCCACGTTGCTACTTGTCAAATCCTTAATCCT